TAATTCATTTGGATGTGGTCAATTTTGCTTAGATTATATTCAAATATTAATGTTAGCTATCTGGGTTACAGACTTTTGATTTTTCTGACTTGTATTCATGAAGGGATATGAACATCAAAGATGTTCATGAAACATCAAAGATATCTAGAGCATTTCATTTAATTTCCATCTACAAGTACATAAAATTAAAGTCACCTTCGATATGCATTAATAAATGATGACTGAGAATCAAGGGCTATTCATTGATTCATCCAGTTTTTGACCACTTAACATGGGTGTGTACTAAATTCTTCCTAGGCCCTGGAGATTGATGGAATGGCATGTTATATGAAACACAAGTATCATGGTAAAAGTCCAGTGTTGCTTCTAGGCCTATTGCAAACTGGTATGAGCTACACCAAGGAAAGAAATGTGCTCCGCAATCAAATTGAGTTATTTGACAGCATGTTAAAATGCCACAATGAATAAGATGGGGGCTCACATGCATTATCGCTCCCTTCTGTTTAATTACAATGCTTCTGTTGCAGAGGAGCTTATATCTTCTTGCATTGATTAGTCACATCATAAAAAAGAGTGGATGCTGTGCAATGGGACTGTCACATGACTTTGAAATTGGCAACTTTATTCACCAAATATTTATGATATGCCTGCCATGTTTTGGGCGATCTTGAATTTACTTGAAATACAGTAATGGGTAAGATATAGGTGACTGATGATTTTGTGAGGCCAAATCTTGTAAGTTCAGACTCCATTTTAGAGAACCAGACCTTAGTTTAAATTCAGATAAATTAACAGGCTGGTACCTAACGTTAGTTGCCGCCCAACAAAACCCGAGGCTAGCTCCAGTCTCTAGGCTAATCCTCAACAAGACCAGCATCTCCAGGTTAATCCTCCAACAAACCTGCACCCCAAGGTGACAAGCCTACCCCCTGCCAAACCACCACCAATACAGAGGGGAGCAGAAGTTAAGTTTATGCTATGACTCCCAGCACCAGCCAATTATGTTAAAGACTATAATAGCTTTCCAATTAGATGCTTGCACACTTGTGCCCTGCTTGCTGCTTATTGTAAAGTCTTGTCCTGATAGATGTTTGAAGCACTACCAAAACCTTCCTGTGTGATGGTAGTGTGTTGGAGGTAGGTGGCAAGCTAGCTCAAATAGAAAAAAAACCTTGCTGCGAGTTACATCAGATTGGCCCCTGTCTGTTTTTTGGTGCATTATTAACATTTCCCTGGCACTACAAATATATCTTTGCATTCATACAGGTTCCCTTGGAGTAAAGTCAGACAAAAACATACCAAGAGTATCATGTGTATACATAAAATACTTGAAATGATACTAAATGTTTAGGAGGAATGGTGAGGAGAGGAGGTGAGAGTCCGTCAAGTTCTCAATATAGATCATTAATTCTAGGTTCATCTAAAATGTTCCCTGTTAGAACTGAAAGGATTTGTGGGTTGTTAAGGACACGTCTCTTTTTTTGTTCTTAATATTTTATTTTTAATTTTAAAAAGTAGCTTACAAGGAACCAGGTTTCCTCGTGGGATTTTCAAACATTTCAGGTTGCATCCTCTCTATTTTGATTACCTTTCCTTTTGTACTTCTGGTACCAATGTGGTTACTCCCTTCTTGCCTTGTTTTTCCTGCCCCCTTCTTTTGAAGCCTCTATTTGTTTTATTGAAAATAGTTTTGTTTTTAATATGATATATCCTGATCATAATTTCTCTATTCAAAGTCCTCCCACAGTCTCTCCTCTTTCTCATGAACCCAATCAACACAATTCTCTCTTTTTCTCTCTCATTAGAATACAAATAGTTATTAAGTAAATAAATAAGACAAGACAAAAACAAACTATAGTGAGACACAACAATCACACAAACAGGAGGACAAGAGCCAAAGAAAAAGCATAAGAAACACACACATAGATGCAGTGACAGACATATTCTCACTCCCTGAAATCCCACAATATATTTTCAAAGGACCTGAAAGAAGAAATAATAAAAAGGCCTGACACAGCAGTATCAGAAAGAGAACCATTAAAAAGGCCATTGAGTTCGTCCTTTCTTCCTTCCTTCCTTCCTTCCTTCCTTCCTTCCTTCCTTCCTTCCTTCCTTCCTTCCTTCCTTCCTTTCTTTCTTTTTTTTTTGTCAGCTATTTATTGTTAGATATATAGCTTGCCCTTAAGTATGCTTTGCATATCCAGTGAGACTCCACGGGGGGGGGGGAACTCATTTTTTATTTGTGAGCAGTTATCAGTTGGAGATAGCTTCTGGGTTCGGGATGGAGTCTCGTGTTCACTATTCTTCTCAGTTGTAGGACCCCATCTTGTGCAGACCTGTACAGGTCCTGTGCATGCTGGCTCAGTCTGTGTGATATCATATGTGTGTCAGTCTTGCTCTGTTTAGAAGCTCTGCTTACTTGGTGCCCTCCACTCCCTCTGGCTCTTACAATCTTTCTGCCTCCTCTTCCACGGGGTTCTGTGGGGTTACTAAGGGAAGAGATGTGATAGAGGCATCCCATTCAGGACTGGCTGTTAATTCTCTCTAGTTTTATGTGTCCTTTTAAAATTTTCTAGCTTTTACCCATATTTACATTCTCTAGGATCAGCTGGGATCTGTATGAGAGAGAACATACGAGTTTGTCTTTCCAACCTGGGTAACCATCTCTAATATAATGTGTTCCAGATCCTTCAGTTTTCCTGAGAATTTCATAATTCCATTTGTGTTTCTTGCTAGATAAAATTACATTGTACCTAGGCACCAACCGTTTATTATCTACTGATCTGTCGATGAACATTTCAGCTGATTGCAGATTTACTGACACTCATTAATTGTGCATGTTAATGGAAGTTTCTGTGTATTTTATGCAAGAATAGAGCATACAGTACTCATGTCTGCCCCTGGTTCTTTTTGCAAATGTTGAGTCTGAATTTCCCCAAAATAGTGTTTTTCTGTTTCTTTTTTTTAAAAATAACCTTTTATTGTTTATTTGTGATTTCACAACATGCACCCCAGTCCCGCTCATCTTCCTGTTCTTTCATACTCACCTTTTACTTTTGCAAACTCTCCCCCCAAATAACACACACACACACACACACACATATACACACACACACACACAAACCACCACCACCACCACCACCACCACCACCACCACCACCACAACCACCGAAACAACCACCACCACCAATAAGAACAACCAAAGCATAGGAATCATCTAATCGTGGAAACTGTAGCATTTTATTGTGTGCCCCATGGTGTATCCCTCTGTCCACACATCTTCACTTGCAAATGTTCATTACAATTAAACATTGGTTTGGTTCAGGATCGGTGGCTTTTTTAACACCATTAATATTGGATCCTCACTAGGCTTCCTATGAGTTATCCTGTTGTTGCCCCATGTCATGGCAATCCTGTAGCTTCGGAACAGCAGGACTGGCCCTTTCATGCATCCCAACTATTTGTAGTTGATATAGATTTGGGGGTGGCCCAATTCAGAGTCACGAGTCTGGGCCTAGATGGTAGCTGAGCTGGTCAGACTTCCAGATTGCTTTCATTTGCACCATGAGGAGAGTGAGTTCTCCAGCACTGAGTCAGCGAGGCCACCCAGTGCTGCCACTTGCAGGAGACAGGGTCAGGTCCTGTTCTCATGCCCTTCGGGCTGGCTCACTTGTACCAACACCTCCAAAGTCAGCTTCACTGTGCTACCCAGGCAAGATTCTGGCCCTACTCTCCCAAGAGATGCAGCCTACGAAGGGCTGGGCCAGCTGTCCCTCTTTTACACACTCTTTGCTCACCTCCACTAGGGTGAGCTCTACAGTAATGCCCAGACAAGGTTCAGGGCCTGTTCTCCTGAGTGATGCAGCCTGTGAGGGTCAGGGCCAGTTCTCCTTTCTGCCACAGGTGGTGAGGCACAAGGGAGGGAGGGCATCACCCCTGCGCTCATGCCACCTGATGCCAGACAAGTAGCCAGGCCATCTTTCCATTGTTCTGTCCTCAGGTATTGCTTACCTGCTCCACATCCATGAAGGTCAGCACTACCATGTTGATCACATGGGGTACAGGATCCTCCCTTCTGGCTGCTGCAGCAGTAAGGCAATGGACAGGGCCAACTCATCTTCTCTCCTGATTACCTCCAACCCCCACCAGGGGCCAATACTCTTGACTGCTACAAGTGAATGTCGTGGGGGGGGGCAAATCACCCCATAACCGTACTACCTCATAGCAAATGAGTGGCAGGGCCAGCTCTCCAGTGATATCACCCTAGAAACTGGCTCACTCATGATCCTTTGACAAGGGCCAGGCCTACTGTGCTGCCCAGGCAAGGTGCATCGTTAGCTCTTCTGCTCTCATGACCCCAGTGCCAGCTCTCCTGACTAGCAGGCAGGGAAGCATTATTACCTGCCTCATAGTAGTCTGGAGACAGAGCCTGCTCACTCACACACTGGTGAGAGATGAAGCCAGCTCTACAGACTGCTGGTTCTGGTGAGGGATGGAACCAGTTATGCACAGCTCCTGGATATCCACGTGGTCTCCAACCACGATATTCCCATGTTCTATAGTAGTAGTATGAACCATGGACATAGACACTGACCCCTGTTAGTGCATGAGGACCCAGACATGGCCCTCAGCAGGGACTTCACTATGGTTCTAGATGGCAGGGCTCACCACTCACAACAGAACATTTCTATCCACCTTCAGGTCTATAGTTCCATTTCTCTTCAAAATAGTCAATCTGCTCCACCTTTTTTTCCTCTCTCATCTGACTACCACATACATGCACACTGTGGTGGCTCTTACTGCAGGCTGGCGACATGGCTGGAAGACCCCTGGGTGACATCCTCTATCCATGCTGCATGGATGGCAGCAAGCAGGTGTCTATGGCTTTCCTGTGCCTTGTGCTAGAGGGTAAGTCTGTGGGAGGCATTGCAGTTGGCAGGTGTCTGTCTTCCTCCTCCTGTACTGCACTGTCTGGATTTGATTTGATTTGATTTGATTTTTTATGAGTCTTAAGCCTAAGACAGCTTTGGCCACTAAACCAAGCATCAAGCTAGGATAAACAAAGGACTGCCATCTGCTCTGCCCCTGACTGATGCAAGAATACCACCAACAAGGTGTCTCTTTGCCCATTGCCATGGGGGTTTTCTTTTCTGTTTACCTTCCTTGCTTAGACCTTTCATTCACCAACAAGATACACAAATCTTTTATAAAAGCACAGAGGTACAATAGAGTCAGTCAGCTCCTTTAGGATGGAGACTGCTTTCATGATTTTAAATTTGATGTCTAAGGTCTTATCTTGAAAAAATTAATGCCTGTGCCTTGCTTTAAATGGTAAGGAATGATATATGTTTACTTCTTATATATTCTTTGACAAAAAAGTTTTTTCTTTTTTTTTTTCTAGGCTATTTTCTTCATTCACATTTCCAGTTCCCTTTCCCTGTTCCCACCCTGTGAAACCTCCTACTCCATCCCTGCTTCCCTGCTTTTATGAGGGTGTTATACCACCCACCCACTCTTGCCTCCCCTCCCTCGAAATCCCCTACACTGGGGCATTGACCAAGAGCCTCTCCTATCTCTTGTACTGACAGGGCCATTCCTTGCTACATATGCAGCTCCCTTCATATGTACTCTTTGGTTGGTGGTTTAGTCCCTGGGAGCTCTGGGAAGTCTGGTTGGTTGATATTATTGTTCTTCCTATCGGGTTGCAAACAACTTCAGCTCCTTCAGTCCTTTCTCTAACTCCTCCATTGGGGATCCAGTGGAGACCCCATGCTCAGTTCAATGGTTGGCTGCAAGCATCGGCCTCTATATTTGTGAGACTTGGGCAGAGTCTCTCAGTAGATAGTTATATCAGGCTCCTATCAGCATGCACTTCCTGACATCCAAAATGTTTAGGTTTAGTGACTGTATATGAAATGGATCCCTATGTGTGACAGTCTTTGGATGGACTTTCCTTCAGTCTCTACTCAACATTTGTCTCCATATTTCCTCCCATGAGTATTTTGCTCCCCTTTCTAAGAAGGAACAAAGTACCCACACTTGGTCTTCCTTCTTGAGTTTCATGTGGTCTATGAATTGTACTTTAGGTATTCTGAGAATTTGGGGTAACATCTACTTATTAGTGATTTCATACCATGTGTGTTCTTTTGTGATTGGGATACCTCACTCAGAATGATATTTTCTAATTCCATCCATTTGCCTAAGAATTTCATGAATTCATTGTTTTTAATAGCTGAGTAGTACTCCATTGTGTAGGTGTACCACATTTTCTGTATCCATTTCTCTGTGTAAAAGCATCTGGGTTCTTTCAAGGTTCTGGCTATTATATATAAAGGTGCTATGAACATAGAGGAACATGTGTCCTTGTTATATGTTGGAGAATCTTTTGAGTATGTGCCCAGGAGTGGTACAGCTGGATTCTCAGGTAATAGGTTCCTCTTTCTCCACCTCCTCGACAGCATCTGGTATCACCTTAGTTTTTGATCTTAGCCATTATGACTGATGTGAGGTGAAATCTCAAGGTTATTTTGATTTGAATTTCCCTGATTACTAATGATGCTGAACATTTCTTTAGGTGCTTGTCAGCCATTCGGTATTCCGCAGTTGAGAATTCTTTGTTTAGCTCTGTACCCCATTTTTAATAGGGTTATTTGATCTCTGGAGTCTAACTTTTTGAGTTTTTGTTTTATATGTTGGATATTAGCACTTTTTTGGATGTAGGATGTTTCAATATATGGAAATCCATCAACGTAATCCACTACATAAAGTAAAAAAAAAAAACAAAAACAAAAAAAACAACTACATTAGATGCGGAAAAATCATTTGACAAAATTCAACATATATAAAAAGATAAAGAACTTTTCCCAATCTGTTGGTTGCCATTTTGTCTTATTGACAGTGTCCTTTTTCTTACAGAAGCTTTGCAATTTTATGAGGTCCAATTTGTTGATTCTTGATCAAACAGAATAAGTCATTAGTGTTCTGCTTAGGAACTTTTCCCTTGTGCCCATGTGTTTGGGGTTCTTCCCCACTTTCTCCTCGATTAGTTTCAGTGTATCTGGTTTTACATGGAAGTCATTGATCCACTTGAACTTGAGCTTTGTACAAGGAGATAAGAGTAGGTTGATTTGCATTCTTCTACATGCTGACCTCCAGTTGATCCAGTACCATTTGTTAAAAATGCTGTCTTTTTCCCCACTGGATGGTTTTAGCTCCTTTGTCAAAGATCAAGTGACCATAGATATGTGGGTTCATTTCAGTTTTATTCCATTGATCTTTCTGCATACTCTGTACCAATACCATGAAGCTTTTTATCACAATTGCTCTGTAACAGCTTGAAGTCAGGGATGGTGATTCCTTCAGAAGTTGTTTTACTTTTGGGAATAGTTTTTGCTATACTGAATTTTCATTCCAAATGAATTTGGTAATTTCTCTTTCTAATTCTACGAAGAATTGATTTGTATTTTTAATAGGGATTGCATTGAATCTGTAGATTGCTTTCAGCAAGATGGCCATTTTTACTATAATAATCCTGCTAATCCATGAGCATGGGAGATTTTTCCGTCTTTTGAGATCTTCCATTTCTTTCTTCAGAAACTTGAAGTTCTTGTCATACAGATCTTTCTCTTCATTGGTCAGAGTCACAACAAGGTACTTTATATTATTTGTGACTATTGTGAAGGGTGTCCTTTCCCTTATTTCTTTCTCAGCCTGTTTATCCTTTCAGTAGAGGAAGGCTACTGATTTGCTTGAGTTAATTTTATATCCAGCCACTTTCCTGAAGTTGTTTATCAGGTTTCAGGGATCTCTAGTGGAAGTTTTGGGGTCACTTAAGTATACTATCCTATCATGTACAAATAGTGAAATTTTGACTTCCTCCTTTCCTATTTGTATCCCTTTGACTTCCCTTTGTTGTCCAATTGCTCTGGCTAGGACTTCCAGTACTATATTTAATAGATAGTGAGAGAGTGGGCAGCCTTGTCTATTCACAGATTTTAATGGGATTGCTTTAAGTTTCTCTCCATTTAGTTTGATGTTGGCTACTGGTTTGCTGTATACTGCTTTTACTATGTTTAGGTATAAGCATTGAATTCCTCAACTTTCCAAGACATTTAATATGAAGGGGTGTTGAATTTTGTCAAATGCTTTTTCAGCATCTAATGTGATGATAATGTGTGTTTTATTTCTTTCAGTTTCTTTATGCAGTGGATTACGTTGATGGATTTCCACATATTGAACTATCCTTGCATTCCTGGAATAAAGCCTACTTGATTATGATGGAGGATTGTTTTTAAGTGGTCTTGGACTCAATTTTCAAGAATTTTATTGAGTGAACACTCTGGTGATCACTGTTTCTAAGGACTTATCAGGATGACCAAAATATCTGAGCTAACTTCCCTGTCCTAGCCCAAAGTAATTTTTATGTCTGAAGCCTACTTCCTTGTTCTAGCCTAAGATTTAGATTCCTGTCGGAAATTACTTCTTTGTTCTAGCCTAAGACTTATATTCCTGCCTGAAATTAGTTCTTTGTTCTAGTTTAATGTCAGATTCCTGCCTGAAGCCCACTTCCTTGTCCTTGGCCAATGTCACATTCCTGCCAAGCAGACCATTTCCTTATCCTTAGCCCATGTCAGATTCTTGCCAAGCAGCTCTAAAAGCTCTCAATATCTGCCCCCTTTTTATTTCATAAACAAGACTGCACCTGTCTTAGATTGTTCTGCCAAGAATGCTTTCCTTACCCATCATGGAATATGCATTATCAAATGTGATGCACTTATGTCTTAGGCTGTAAGGCCCTGTGCAGAATTTTACCTGTCCTTGGCTTGCCAGCCTTTTAAATTAATAACTCTGTCTGGGGGTTCATTTTCAGGTTCAAGTCATATACTTTGGCTGCCAACATGTTTATGTTTTTAGAGACAAGCTTTAACATGATGGGCAGGAATAAAAGTATTCCCAGGACAAAAAGGGCCAGTATGATCAAGTTATGCCATTCTTGAGGTTTGAACAAAATGGACATACTGACCTCAAGCCATGGATAATTTTATCACCATTATCTGCAACATCAAAGCTCAGCAGAGCAGCGTTCTTTAAATTTATAATCTCACTATGCAAAGTTAAAACATCCAGAGAGGTGTTCAAATTATATCAAATACCCTACAAGTGTCTTTAAACCTTGTTCTCATTATGACTATCATCGTAAATTTTAGAAGTAACACAACTCCAATGGTATTTGTCATGACACTCAAGATGGCTCCTAACTCTTAAACTCTGAACCTTCATCAGATCATTTGATTAGGATATAGAGCATCAATCTGTTGATCCAAATACCTATATAATGCTCCAGTGGAAGCCCCACATCTGAAAACATGGACAACGCAAATTAAAATTGATGAGAAAAAGGAAATAAAATGGTGGGTTATGAAGAGGGGACAGATCTTGGAGGAGTTTGAGAATGAATATGAACACAATACATTAAATGAAATTTTCAAGGGCCTCATAAAACAAATTTCACATGGGAGAGTTAAATTTTTGGTTTGACAAAAAGTGCCATGTCATATTATAGATGTTGGGTTTTTTTTGATATCTATTTTGATTGACATGATATTTTTAGTTTTTTTTTCCTGTAAACCTAGAGTCAATTCTCTTTGTGAGAATCTTGTATTTCCAAGTGACCACAGAGGGTGAGAGTGAAAAGTCTTTCATTACTTCTTTCAGCATCTGAGGGGGAGTAGATAGTTTGACATATGTTGAAAAAGTGTAATGCCTATGATGATGCTATGCAACATTATGGCTCTTCTCCCAGCCATGCTAGCTGAGGGACTCACAGTATGTAATTAAGCCTCTTAAACCTCCACAGAAATCCTTTACTTTAAATTTTATTTCGAATTCATTTTATCTCTCCCATGTTTGTTTGGATGGTGAACTAAGTATAGAAAACACAATATGGATCATATTTTTGATATATATTTGAGGTATATTAATTTAAATTCTCTCCACAAATTAAGAGCCACGGGCTGTAATTGTGGCACTTGATTTCAAGTATTTCCACCTATTCTCTTCTGGACAAATGAGAGGGCAGCTTTTACCACAATCTCTTTTGCCTGTGAACTCAGAAGAATTTTATCATATTGGGCTGGATTAG